GGCTTGGCCGGGTGTTGGGGATGGCTAGTGGATACCGTCGCAAATAAAACTTGGTCCGGTCGTTGCCGTGGTGATCGGAGCGGGGAGTCGGTAACGCGCGGTTTAAGGACGCGGTAACGGGAGCTGTAGATCCTTTGTCTGAAACATGAGCAGCGGCAACACGACGTAAACAACGATCAGCTTCAGACGGCTGTCATACGCAAACATCGGATATCAAGGCACGCGACACAGCTCCAACGCGGGCCAGCTGATGAAGGGTCAGGAGAGAGGGCAGGGAGGGGAGAGGAGGAGAGGGGAAGGGGAGGGAATTGGCATAGAGGACGACGCATGCCACGCCCCTATAAAATGAATGCCCTACCCTTTTCACCAAAATGACCCGACATCTACAGCAACGGAGGTTCCAGAATAAAAAAGACGATTGACCGACCTGGACAGTGAAGAGCCCATGCAGGCGCGCCATGTGCGAGCCCGAGCCAGGAAGACGTGGCCGAAGAAGGCGCTGCGACGGTGGTATCGCAACGCGTAAGCCCACAGCACAGCTGATGACATTCCTTGTGAGCGATGGCTTGCAGACGCTCGCCTCCCTCGGCCATTTCTATGGACTGCAGTCGCAGCAGTTGTAGCAGGAGCTCCCTCCATCCCCTACGACAACCTCTACCGCCCCACAGCCGTAGACGAGAGCCTCACCGACGGGCGCACAGAAGATCGAGGTATGCGACACCACCATCGCAAGATCGAGCCCCCCCTCACTCGCCGGAACAGGTGGGCGGAAGCCCGAGGTATGGGCCACCACCATCGCAACCTCGAGCTCCCCCTCGCTCGCCGGCTCTCGCCCCCGCCGGTGAACGGAGACACGCGACAAAAGTCGCCATTCGCCTCGGTCGCTGCCGAGCAAAGCGGGAAGCGGGGGGCGGTAACGCGCGGATTAAGGGCGCGCTAACGGGTTTGTAGACCCCTTGTCTGAAACATGAGCAGCGGCAACACGAAGTAGGCAACGATCAATTCTTCGGACGGCTGTCACGCGCAACATCGGATATCAAGGCACGCGAAACAGCACCAGAGCGGACCAGTTGGTTGTACGTTCAGGGAGAGGAGGAGAGGGGACGGGAGGGGGACGGGAATGAATTTTGCAGAATACAAGGCATGCAACTCCCCCTATAAATCGACCGACCCGTACCCCAACCTCGCACCAAAATGACCCGACATATTCAGCGATGGAGATGCCAGAAAATAGTGACAATTTACCGACCTGAACAGTGAAGAGCCCATGCAGGCGCGCCATGTGCGCCGGAGCCGGGAAGACGTGAACGAAGAAGACGCTGCGACGGTGGTATCGCAACGCGCCGGGGCCACCCCACAGCTGGTGATATTCCCTGTGTGCGGTGGCTTCCAGACGCTCGCCTCCCTCGGCCATGCCTACGGACTGCAGCCGCAGTAGCAGTAGTAGCAGGAGCTCCCTCCATCCTTCGCCTACTGCAAACCACTACCGCCACACAGCCGTAGACGAGAGCCTCACCGACGGGCGGGCGGGAGCTCGAGGTAAGCGCCACCACCACCGCAACCTCGAGCCCCCCTTCGCTCGCCGGAACGGGCGGGCAGAAGCTCGAGGTATGCGCCACCACCATCGCAACCTCGAGCCCCCCCTCGCCTGCCGGCTCTCTTACCCCCGCCGGTGAACGGAGACACGCGAAAACAATCGCGCATCGCCTTGCTCGTTGCCGAGCAAACTCGCAGGAGATGAAAGAAAGAGGGATCAAGGTAGGAAGGGGCGTCTCCGCCCGGTGCAGACAAGGAAAGGTGAACGTGACTCTCTTCCTATGCCACCCCAACCCGCCGAACCTCATCGGGGAACGCGCGTTCGGCATTCCTTCCTACCCGGGACACCACGCCAACACCTCCGAGCTGTACAGCAAGGCGAGCAGCCTTCGGACAAGAGCGAATGGCGTCGATACTCAAAGAGCACACGAGCAGGGACGAATATTTTGTACCGCGCCCATCACCCTCGACCTTGCACAGGAGCAACCGCACCCGACCGTTTGGCATTACCTGCTCTGGTTCCTATCTCCATCGGCCACGCTCCCCCGGGAGTCTGATCCGGAAGCCGACCTCATGCTGACGAAGGGGATACCGGGGCTGGTGTGCCGGTGGAAAAGCCGTGGGGTGGAGGGTGCTCAAGGGGTTTTCAGCAGATGGTGGCCTCGCCTTCTCCGTTCCGACGCACGAGCCTCGAGGGTGGATAGAGTCACAGGAACGCCTTCCCTTTCGTTCCCCGCTCACTATCTCTTCAGAACTTACCCCAGGGTGCAAATCACACACACAACAGTCTTCGGTACCAGCAAACACGGTCGCAACCACGCCCTGGCAATTGGGGGTTGTTGGCCGAAGAAAACCCTTGGTTCTCTCAGCTGACGACAAGCACGAACGAATACGCAGGTAAATATCTTGGGTCGCCTTTAGGAGACGTTACGTATTGTTCCAGAGCATTCTTCAAGAAACACAAAAAAAAGCCTGGCAAAGAAAGAACACGAAAAACGACCCTATCGCCTGGGCGGAATATCACGTGCTCTCTGGGTCGTGTGCATTAACTGCTGTGTTTGCGATCTCGTTGCGGTAGCCTGAACTCAACTCCAGGAGATGTTCAAATCGTTACGGTCCCGCTCCCCGAGGAGACCAATCTGTTGACTCGTTTCATATCGCGTCCGCGTATCAATACGTGACAAGTAGTCAAGGGAAATCGTTTATTTCCTTCCTTTGCGGATTTAGGTAGAGGAGGTGCTGGAAAGAGGTGGCAATGTCGTTCATCGCAGGATATTGACAACAAGGACAATTTCTAGACATCGCTCGCGAGGTTTAACAGGATGAAACTAAACTGTGGTGAGGGACCGGATGGGGACACGAGGAAGGGATCACTCGTCGCGTACGTCACAGCAGGATGTCCGTTCAACCCCGTCCCGCCAACACACATCCATCTGTTGTGCGCGTTGGTAGATCACGAGCTCGCCAAGAGCTCGCCAATGGCGCGGAAAATCTTACCACACAGAGAGGGTTGGGAGGCAACGGGATACAAAACAGCCGGTGGACACCGCCAGCGCGACATCGCATCCTCAAACCTTGGGGACTTGTGGGCAGCACTGCTGTGCGTCTCTAGGGATAAGGGTTCGACGATAATGGGGAAGCTCGTAGCGGTGAATGTCTATCAACAGTTCCAGAACATGTCATTGCCGTTGAGTAATCCGTAAATCAAAGGGGTAGTGCACGGTATGAAGACAGGACACACGGAGACAGGTACACAAGAAGAGTGAGGAGACCCCTGACCTGGGGAATGCTGAGTACAATGCAGCAGAGCGTCGGCGGGGAGGTGCCAGGGGGCGGGTGCTATGGATTGGACTAGCCTTGACGTATCGCTGATGTTGAGAGCTTCTGATTTGTCTGCGGAAAAGGATGGCATAGTCCACAACGTGAAATACCTGTGCAGGGGGGACGTGGTGTTTTTGATTGGCGATGATCAACTAGAAGGACGGGAGAGGATAATGGCATATGAGGCAGAAGTGCGTGTGATAGGTTAGAAGGGACCAAGGGAGGAAGGAGCGGTGATGGTCCGGGAGAGAGGGAAGGCGGAAGGAGCGGTAGGTTTGATGCTGGAACTATTTGGGATTTACGAGAGCGAAGGACTGAGTACAACGGCACAGTTGATGTTCCAAAAAAGAAAATGGAAGTGGAAGGTATGGCAGATGGGAAGGGCGACAGAACAACTCAGGAGGGGATAAGCTCGGCTGCAAAGGAAAAGGGGCAGGGGCGAAGCTCAAGCCGGAAGAGTTTGCATTACATTCAGGAAGGATAGATGGGGCGACGAGGGTGGCAGCCAGAACGGTACCGAAGACCGTAATAAAGAAGGGAAGGAGGTGGTCGTCGAACGCATTTATGGCATACGCGAGGGCGAATATGCAAGACCCGGCATGGGCGTCGGCGGTGTTGGAAGAAGGGGAGAAGGAATATTAGAGACAACCGGAGCAAGGGACAGAATGGCGTAAGGCAACGTGAGGAGGAATCCAGGAGTACGTCAAGAACACGGCTTCGTGACGGGGAGGTTTTGTGTCCAAGCTGGGCGACCAGCGGAATATGGTTACTGTAGCCTAGTTCTTACTACTTAAGGAAGCGTGTGGATGCCTTAGTAGGATTAAGGGCCGGGGAGGAGGAGAGATCCATCTCCAAGACCCGGCATTTTCGGCGACGCAAACAATAAAACTGGAATGTTCGGGAATTCAGAGATAAAAATGGAAGGTTGTGTTTTACAACCTGGTGTTTGTCAGAACGGTTAAAATATCTAAGTAGGCACTGGAGGAATAAGATAGCCCGGTAAGGCAGGTATAAATAAAAAGTAAAGGAAGCAAAAAGAAAAGAGACGGACTTGCCCACGACAGAAGAAGCATCCGAACGCAAAGGAGCAAGAAAGGCAATCCAGGAGGAGTAGAGTAGAGGAGAGTAGAGAGGAGGAGCAAGAAGGAAGCGAGATTACGGAGAGGAGACAGACTGAGAGGCAGAGCAAGGGCATCGACGGTTCTTTTTCTCACCCACCCTCCCATGTGGTTTGTGTTTGGAAGGTACTGTAGACCTGACTCTGCGCTGCCTTTCCCTTCAATCCCACTCCGTCACAGGCCGAGACACTTTTTCAGTGAAATACACGGAGGGGACGTCTTGGTGTGAACTTCCGAAGGCCATGAGAAAGGCACGCAGGTGCGCGAAGAGTGACTACAACGAGGGATCTCGCTCACACCGCCCGATGCGGCACGCATCCGTTCGTGTCGGTTACAGCGCAGATTGCGAAAGGTCGAAGGAGTTGCGGTGTCGTTACAACGTTTTAACAAGTACAGAACGCGCTCGCACTGAAGAAGCTCTATTATAGTTTCTGCCGAGGCTGGGGTCCTTGCGGTATTCCTGGGGTCATGCTACGAATGGTCGCTATACTCGTTCGAGTGTAGGGGTTCCTAACCGAGCTCACCAATGGTGCTCAAGTTCCTAACTCCTGGGTTCCTAAGTGCGGGCGCGTTCTGTACGATAGGTGTGTTTTTTGTTATTATGCATATCTATCTGATCGAAATATTTAATTTTCTGGCTTCGAGGGACATGCCCCTTGGTGCCAGATAGCAAGAACGTTTTTCACGAGATCATTTCACTGGTCACTTTAGTTTTGCTTTTGTGTAGTACAACCTGGTGTTTTGTCAGAACGGCTAGAAAGATCTACGTAGGCAGATCAACCAGGAAATGAGATGGGCAGGTACAACGGGGAAAAAGAAGGGAAGGAAAAAGAAAGAGGTAGACTTGCCCACAACAGAAACATCCGAACGCAAAGGAGCAAAATAAGCAAATGGGGAGGAGTAGCGAACGACCAGAAGGATAGAAGGAGCGAGCTTGCGGAGAGAAGGAGACAGGAAGAGAGGGAGCAAGAGCATCGTCGGTTTTCTTTCCCACCCACCCACCCAAGAAGCACGGCGTTGACTAGGACAGAGTATGGTTTTGGCGGGCGGACAAGTTAGTTGAGAGAGGAACGGGAAGACGTTTTGAGATTAAAGGTCAAGATAAGCATGCTCCTGCTTACGAGCAGGACATGGAACGATAGGCCGAGGTAGACGTGTTTATGACAAGATCGAGACATGTAAAGACCAGAAGGTCGAAGTAAGCATGTTCTAGGCTTGACCAGGGCATGGAAAGGCATGTTTGAGAGGAAAGTCAAGGTGAGCGTGCTTCTGACTGCTTTTGGGCAGGACATGGAACGGCCGCAAGGCCGAGGTAAGCGTGTTTCTGGCAAGAATGAGACACGGAAAGACCAGAAGGTCGAGGTAAGCATGCTCTAGACTTGAGCAGGGCATGGAAAGGCATATGTATATTTGAGAGGAAGGTCAAGAGGTGCGCGTGTTTGTAGCTTGTGAGCAGGACATGGAACGAGCGTAAGGCCGAGGTAAGCGTGTTTCTGGCTAGGGCGAGACACGGAAAGACCAGAAGGTCGAGGTAAGCATGTTGTAGGCTTGAGCAAGGCATAGAATGGCACGGTAAGCGCGTTTTGCCTAGACAACAGGACATGAATCGTTGGGGGGGGGTTCTATCCAAGCTTGGCGACCAGCTTGATATGGCCAAACTTTCCTACCTAAGGAGGAGTTCTGCATTTCTTAGTAGAATTAGACTAAAGCAGAGGAGGAGGGGGAGATCAGCCCCCAAGCGCTGATCTTTCTTTGGGCCAGACAATTCAACGATGAAAATCTCCGGATCGTTCATCGGGAGAGCTTCTATTGCTGTTGGTGAGACATTTGCCACCACTCTCAAGACTTTTGGAATTGTACCTTGGTGTGATTTGGTTTGATTGTGGGATCCAAGTTGTTTTAGATTTCGGTTTCAACAGATTTCGTGGAGGGAACTCACAGCAACCCAGCCCGTCTGCATTTATATGATCTATATGGTTTCGAGGGGAAAGCTGGGAAATAGTAAAATTCCGGACGGCGTCCAGACCAACGTTTTTCGGGGCTATGCAAACCGGTAGACTTCGACAATACATCAACGTATTCCGACATCCTACACCTGGGTTTCGTATTTGTTTCCCCCCTCCCCGTTGGTTCTCCCCCCCTCGGTGTTTGCCATCCGGATTGGGTTTTCGTCGCTTGGCAACGACGTTGTAAAACAAGCCAATCACCTCGTGAACTCGGCAACCAGGTTACCCTTTTTTTTTTACATCTGTTTGTTATTTTCTTTCGGTAACCATGAATGGTGATCGAGTAGATCATGTTGTGCGGGGTCGAGAACCCTCACTCCGCGCAAAGGGGATAATCGCACCACGTTGTGTTAAAATGGTCAAGCATCCTCGAGGCACTTACACAGTGCTAATACCTGTCTCTGAAGTGAAAGCACCAGAAAATAAATTAAATCATACGTAGCTGTCATCCGTACGCAAGGAAGTAAGCACCAGATGCCGAACACCATTAGCAGGATGCAGCGCACCCTTCATGCGACTCGCCGAATACCTCACGGCCCTTCGCGCTTGGTGATGTGAGAGCCTGGTCCGGTGAGAACCCGGCGTGCTCCGTCCCGACTTTGTAGGGATGCGAGGTCAATGGTCTAACGACTACGGCATGCACGACTATGAGTACCCCCCCCCCCCGTTTGTTCTTGAGCGAAAAGTCGTCCAAATACACACGTCGTGGGTTCGCGCGTTCGTCACGCCTTTGTGGGGACCCCTGCAACCTGGATAGACAAATACTGGTTAGCTTTGGTTCTTTATACTGTAGGCCACATGCTCTTCGGTGTTTCAAATGTCTGCTCAGCTTTCAATGGGCGGGTTTGTGTAGTTCGGGGGGGATTGATTCGGCACAATACAGAATTTGTGTAAGTCGGGGGGGGTTGATGCGGGACAATACAGAGAGCGGTGCCGGCGTTGGAGGAAAACATGGGGGTAATCGTACAAAAAGTCATGGCCCGTTTCAGCCGGTTTCTTTCAACGTCGGGTTTGGATTTATCTTTGCCTCTGTGGTTCGGGCCAACTATATTCTTGGGGTTGGCTGTCAACAGCAGTGCGCGAGAAAAGGATAGGGTAATGGGGTGGGAGACACTAACTGCGGTTGAGGCCTTGTGTCATGTCCCTGTATTAAAGGACACATTGCCAAAGTTTTGACGCTGTAGCGTTTGACAAAACTCCCTGGCTAGATGTTTTGATACGAACAGTTTGTCTAGTCCCTTCTCACATCTCACATTGAGCAGTACCGCAAAGGAAAACAAAAACTATAACACGCTATTGGGTGACTGAGAATAGGGCGATTCTCTTCTACAGCAGCTCTCGGGATTTGATATGTCATTCGTGCAAGATTCTTTACACGGTCAGCTCGAAGTTCTCACTAGCATGAGGCGTTTCGAACAACTAGAAAGAGTGACGGCACCTTCGATAGTGTGCTGGCACACTACAAGAAAACAATTCATGACCGGCGCTGGTCTCGAATAAATGATTGGCAATAGAGGGCGGCAAAGTCTTGGGAAAACGGGGGGCGGGGGGGATGGGGGGGGATTTCGGGGTCTGGGAAAGCACCTTCGCCCCAAACGAAGTACGAGTACATCGTGTGGTTGACATGGAAAAAATAGCTTAAGAGTGAAGGGTTGAAGCTGTCCAAATCTGACATGAACAGAAAGCGTCACCCGCTGCCTCGGATGTGACACCGTGTCTCTTGGCGATAGGGCCTACATAGAACCACCATCTGTACGGAAAGAAGCATTTCCGGTCCCAACTGGTGTGCCTGGCACTATGAGCAATGTTGCGTCAGTGTTTTCGGCACCAGGGAGGTCCTCTCTGAAACGATTTGCACTCACACTGTCTGTCTCTCTGTCTGGCTTTCTGTCTGTCTCTCTGTCTGTCTCTCTGTCTGTCCGTCTGGCTGGTTGTTTGTCCGTCTGTCTTCATATCTGCTTGTTTATCCTTGTCTTTCTGCCTGCCAAAGTATTCTTTAAAAATTTCTGTCATCTGTGCTATGTCTATCTCAATGAGGGGGGGACCCGATTTCAAGTCCTCTTGACAGGCAGTCTTGGGGTGCAATGATAAGAATGGGTGCCAAGGAGAGTGGGGGTGGTGGGGGCAACGCAGGAGCAGCTACGAAATGTTTCTGTTCAGGTTGTGTTTCGAGAAAGCGCCACACATGATAAAAAAATACACAGGCAACGAGAGAGCACGCGATATTTCAAGCTAGCGTTGGATGCTACCACCAGGCCTGATATAACAAATACCATCAGGAAGGTTGGAACGCTACCAAGTCTTGCAGATTAGTGTAAAGTTCACACATCATCCTACACTTGGAGTTCTATCCCAATTTCAGCCCAATTCTCGAAAAACTATCTTACGGATCACGAGACAACTCGGTCCAAATGCCGATGACAAAGCAGCAATTGGCTGCCAGGACTACCGGTTCACTGATTTGGCGTACGGTGGACAGGCATTGGCGAGCCACACACGTGGTGTGGAGAGAGGACGCGACACGTGCGACAAACAAAAAACGATCCACGAAAAAATGCGGAGCAAAATGCGGACTACGTCCGCGCCACAAGGTACCGTAGACATGTGTGTGATTCGCACTCAGGACTGAATTCTGAAGGAAGAAAAAAAAACACAGCGAGCAGAGAGAGGAAGACGCCGTCATCCACCCGCGAGGCAGGAGCACTGGAACGAGGCTCGGCACGACCATCTCCTGGAACCCGTCCTCGAGCACGTCCACGTCGCACGCGCGGCTTTCCCAGAGACGGCACCCGTGGCGCCCCGCCCCCCGTCACCACGAGGCCTTCCACATCGGGAAGGGTTACGGTCCAGACTCCTCTACCCTACCCTACCCTACCTGGGGACCAACGTGGCGGACTCTGGCCAAACGCGGTTGCTCCACCAACCACGGATGGGTATACCAGAGGGGATGCAGCAGCATACCGCGTAATCGCGGCAGCCGGCTCCCCCGGGACGGGAAGTCAGGCACAGGCAACCCAAAACGTAGGGCCGGCATTGCCCCATATGTTCAAGATCTAGGGTAAAGGGGCGCCATTCGCACCCACAAACATGGTGCCCGAGCAGAGGACGACCAAAGCACCCTATACCCTCGACCCGAACACCTTGCTACACCAAGCGGAAGGAAACGAACGCGTCTGACAGCCCCCATAGAGCTCGGCAAGCCGAGATGCATATGAAAAATAGGCTTTTGCCAATTTCTCGCGAAGCGATGCCACGTTCTCCCCGCCTGCGGTAGTTGGATCAGCCCCCGCAAGCCTTTCAACCCCCCCTCTCTCACCTTCCGTCCCACGAGCGACGGGCTTAAAGACGTACCGATTTCACCGGTTGAGGCTCGAAGAGGCCTCCCCACTGCTCCAGGGAGCTGGTCATCACCACCGCTACCCTCGTGCCTGTCCGCTGCGAAGACGTAGGTACCTCGCGTCTGCTAACGGCAGCGACAACGCAATAGACGGAGGGCTCAAATCAAGGGAAAGGGGCGAAAGGGGGAGAACGAGAAGGAACGCTGGGCAGGATGAACGCACACAAAAGTAACGTGGCGCGTTTTGAAGCCCCTCAACACCTATCTCGCTCATGAGTGCAAAGAAGTCCATTGATGTGTAAACTCAACCAATGAAGGTTGTGGTCCGCAGGAGGGGGGGAGAAACCTATAGGAATGACAAGCGGGCAACGACAATGCACACCCATCGAATCGTAAGGACAACCCGCGGCTGCTCTCCAGATCCAACAACCACTGAAGTGTGAACAACAGTTGACAAGACAGAACGGATCATCACCTGTCGCCAGTCCCCTCCATACAGACCAACGGGATCCCCGCTTCGATAGGGTACATGTGCTGGTGCCGATAATGTACAAGCTGGCGCTGATCTGTACATGTGCTCCAGAAATCAAACGTGGGCCGGTACCGTCAGAGCGCTGTCTGGTCAGGCGCCGGCGTGGCGAACGACGGAGCGGGGAGTAGAGGCAAGGACAACGTGAGCGTTGGAAGAGCACACCTCGAATGATGAGTCCCTGCAGCAACCAGTAGTATCTGCTTCTAAAGCTTTCGACGACCGAAGGACCGCCAGTTCAACCTTCTTCGGACGGGCGAGTTAGGACATCGGTTCGACACAACTGCAGATACAAGCGACAGCCGACCTCACCTGTCCTCAGTCACCCCCCAGCAAAAGCAGCGGGATGCCCGCTTCGATATCGTACTGTGCTCGTCTCGATAGGGTACATGTGTTCGCCCCTGATAGGGTACATGAGTTCGCCCCGATAGGGTACATGTGCTGGTGCCGATAATGTACAAGCTGGCGCTGATCTGTACATGTGCTCCAGAAATCAAACGTGGGCCGGTACCGTCAGGGCTCTTTCTGGTCAGGCGGCGGTGTGGCGAACGACGGAGCGGGGAGTAGAGACGGGGACATGGTCAGCATTCGAAGAGCACACCTCGAATGGTGAGTCCCTGCAGCAACCAGTAGTATCTGCTTCTAAAGCTTTCGACGTCCGGACCGCCAATTCAACCTTCTCCGGACGGGCGCGTTAGGACATCGGTTCGACACAACTGCAGATACAAGCGACAGCCGACCTCACCTGTGCTCAGTCACCTCCCAGCGAAAGCAGCGGGATGCCCGCTTCGATATCGTACTGTGCTCGTCCCGATAGGGTACATGTGTTCGCCCCTGATAGGGTACATGTGTTCGCCCCGATAGGGTACATGTGCTGGCGCCGATAATGTACAAGCTGGCGCTGATCTGTACATGTGCTCCAGAAATCAAACGTGGGCCGGTACCGTCAGAGCGCTGTCTGGTCAGGCGCCGGCGTGGCGAACGACGGAGCGGGGAGTAGAGGCAAGGACAACGTGAGCGTTGGAAGAGCACACCTCGAATGATGAGTCCCTGCAGCAACCAGTAGTATCTGCTTCTAAAGCTTTCGACGACCGAAGGACCGCCAGTTCAACCTTCTTCGGACGGGCGAGTTAGGACATCGGTTCGACACAACTGCAGATACAAGCGACAGCCGACCTCACCTGTGCTCAGTCACCCCCCAGCGAAAGCAGCGGGATGCCCGCTTCGATATCGTACTGTGCTCGTCTCGATAGGGTACATGTGTTCGCCCCTGATAGGGTACATGTGTTCGACCCGATAGGGTACATGTGCTGGTGCCGATAATGTACAAGCTGGCGCTGATCTGTACATGTGCTCCAGAAATCAAACGTGGGCCGGTACCGTCAGAGCGCTGTCTGGTCAGGCGCCGGCGTGGCGAACGACGGAGCGGGGAGTAGAGGCAAGGACAACGTGAGCGTTGGAGGAGCTCCTCGAATGATGAGTCCCTGCAGCAACCAGTAGTATCTGCTTCTAAAGCTTTCGACGACCGAAGGACCGCCTGTTCAACCTTCTTCGGACGGGCGCGTTAGGACATCGGTTCGACACAACTGCAGATACAAGCGACAGCCGACCTCACCTGTCCCCAGTCACCTCCCAGCAAAAGCAGCGGGATGCCCGCTTCGATATCGTACTCTTCTCGTCCCGATAGGGTACATGTGTTCGCCCCGATAGGGTACATGTGCTGGTGCCGATAATGTACAAGCTGGCGCTGATCTGTACATGTGCTTCAGAAATCAAACGTGGGCCGGTACCGTCAGGGCTCTTTCTGGTCAGGCGGCGGTGTGGCGAACGACGGAGCGGGGAGTAGAGACGGGGACATGGTCAGCATTGGAAGAGCACCTCGAATGATGAGTCCCTGCAGTAACCAGTAGTACCTGCTTCTAAAGCTTTCGACGTCAGGACCGCCAATTCAACCTTCTCCGGACGGGCGCGTTAGGACATCGGTTCGATACAACTGCAGATACAAGCGCCAGCTGACCTCACCTGTCCTCAGTCACCCCCCAGCAAAAGCAGCGGGATGCCCGCTTCGATATCGTACTGTGCTCGTCCCGATAGGGTACATGTGTTCACCCCGCATAGGGTACATGTGTTCGCCCGGATAGGGTACATGTGCTGGTGCCGATAATGTACAAGCTGGCGCTGATCTGTACATGTGCTCCAGAAATCAAACGTGGGCCGGTACCGTCAGAGCGCTGTCTGGTCAGGCGGCCGTGTGGCGAACGACGTAGCGGGGAGTAGAGACGGGGACATCGTGAGCATTGGAAGAGCACACCTCGAATGATTTGTCCCTGCAGCAACCAGTAGTATCTGCTTCTAAAGCTTTCGACCACCGAAGGACCGCCCGTTCAACCTTCTTCGGACGGGCGCGCTAGGACATCTGTTCGACACAACTGCAGATACAAGCGACAGCCGACCTCACCTGTCCCTAGTCACCTCCCAGCAAAAGCAGCGGGATGCCCTCTTCGATATCGTACTCTTCTCGTCCCGATAGGGTACATGTGTTCGCCCCGATAGGGTACATGTGCTGGTGCCGATAATGTACAAGCTGGCGCTGATCTGTACATGTGCTTCAGAAATCAAACGTGGGCCGGTACCGTCAGGGCTCTTTCTGGTCAGGCGGCGGTGTGGCGAACGACAGAGCGGGGAGTAGAGACGGGGACATGGTGAGCATTGGAAGAGCTCCTCGAATGATGAGTCCCTGCAGCAACCAGTAGTACCTGCTTCTAAAGCTTTCGACGGCCGAAGGACCGCCCGTTCAACCTTCTTCGGACGGGCGCGTTAGGACATCGGTTCGACACAACTGCAGATACAAG